CCCCCCCCCCCCCCCCCCCCCTTGGGAATGCCACTGGTTGGTACTTACAAATAATTAAAATTTGGGTCGGGATACTCGAAATTGCTGGGAAGTTTTTGTGCAAAAATGCTTAGCGCCATGGAACGGCTTGACGACGGGCCCGGCACGTTTGCTGAGACCTGTCGGCAAGATCGATGTTGCAACCTGCACCTTCAACGCCCAGGTTCCCAATCCATTTTCAATCATTCAAATATTAATGACATTTGCATAGGCCGGGCCTGTGAACTGAATCTCCATGTTTCGCCGTGGATGAATAATGAAAAAGGCTATAGGACGGGGGGGGAGGGGACAAAGGAAGCCACCTCATTAATAATTTCTGCGTCTGCTACTGGCTGGATTCTTCTTGAGCCATTGATCTGAAACCATGAAGATGAACGCTGTTAATGAAATCATGAGTGCGTATAATCAGCATTTCCTTGGGGATGTGGCAGGACTAGCACACTGTTGGATATTTCATGAAATGGCACAAAACTTTTGATAAATGCACACATTGTGCATCGTTCATAATACACCTTACTCGAAAACTCACTTTCAAAAGATAGCGAAAATTTTTTTTTTTGTAGCTTCCTGGAAACAAAAATCGGACTTCCCTATCTCACTTGATGATTTGCTTGCTTTTCCCACCTCAAATTAAAAGGAGTCCATCTACCATGAAATCAGCTGATCCAAATCACTTCCTTTCCTTTTATTTCAGCGCATAAATAAAGGCCAGAATCAAAACTTTCCACGATTTCTTCTCTCGCCAGAAGACAAACTGCACGTTTTCGCTCAGAACTCTTCCTCGCTGTTCTGGATCTTCGTCTGCTGCAGATGCCGGAACCGAGCGACGACGTCGGCGATCGATCTCTCCCCGTGGACCTTGTTGTCCCTCGTGCGCACGTTCACCGTCCCGCTCGATTTCTCCTTCTCCCCGACCACTGTCGCGAGACCGGTGAGACCGTTCGATGACGACATTCGGAAGCAATCGCACGAAGGGATCGGAGACTGATTTTACCCAATATGAAATTGCATTGACTCAGCTGCGCATTGCGGATCTTCTTGTTCAGTGTGTCGCCGGGGTCGATGTCCACTTCACACTGGAATCCTGCATCCCAAATCTCCTTCTTCACCTGCACATTTAACCATTTTCATCGTTAATATCATTCATGAAATTAATCTGAGTCTAACATGGCAATTAACTTTCAGGATGGATTTGGTCAAGATATGCTAGTAATCACAATGACATTGCCATGATTACAGATCAAATCAAGTTTAGAGCAGAGGTTTGACAAGCATACTCTCAAAGAAAAACATCCTTCAAACACAAAATGATGATGCAAAACTGAACATACTATGTCACATCGTGACAATACGTTTTTGAACCCCTTGGGATCACAAAATCAAGTCTTCAATAATGCAGAATGAATCTTAGACATGCCATGTGAGACAGCAAGCTCATGAATGAAGCATACTGTACAGAGTGCTTGCACTCAACGTATTTTGCCATGAAACTTGTGTGCCTGATAGAATGCTAGGCATCAGCAGCAAAATGCTTCACATCTCTTCCTCAAAACATTAATAGGCATTATATAATTATTCCTACCCTTCCCATGAAGATGATGGAGGATAAGAAAACATCATGCAGTCTATACAAATTACTTTGAAATACCTAATAATTATTTTGCTGCTAGTGCACAGCAATTTGCAGCTGGTATGGCTGCCAATTGGAAACACTGTAAACATAAAAGTTTGAATATTTTTTCACATCCTTGCAGAGTTCAGGGAATGTAACATGTCTGATTAGGTTGCATAGCTTTCAGGACATGTGCAATTATGCCTCATGTCCAGGTAAAAGTCTGCAACTAAGATAGATGTTACCCCCAGCATGCACTGCTGAAGTAATTCCTCGTCACACAACCAAGCAAGCACTAGAAGCATGACCATACACAGTATTATAAATCCAGAATTGTTTTCAGGCTTTCAGCAAAATTGCTACAGGTCTCTGCTACAGCATTTATGAGATTGAGCCACATTCAAGCTTGCATGCTGACCCACAATGGTCTTGCAGATGGAGAGGAGCTAACCTGAAGTGCATATTCATCAAAGGGAGGGGCTACTGGGATGACGATGCTCTGGCGTGGAGAGAGCCAGAAAGGCCACTTCCCACCATAGTTCTCCGTGAGGACGGCAACGAGTCTCTCCACCGACCCGAGGATTGCACGGTGGATGATCACTGGCCGCTTCTTCTCCCCGCTCTCACTGCATGCATCAACACATTCGACAATCACACAGCTGCCACCCACTGTGAAGTTCACTCTCATCATAAGATGTTGACCATGGATTTAAATGTGGTATGCCATTGAGGATTGCCTGAAACACTTTCCAACTGAAGCTAGTTTGAGTATCACTTTTAAAAGATACCTTGGAGACTATTGAAACAACTGAACTGTGTTGTAAGCAGCGTCAAGAACACAAAAAAGGTTGAGGGAGGAGGGTATGCAGGCCACTGAAGCAATGCAATGACAATCTTACCTCACATATGAGAGGTTGAAGCGGCGAGGAAGCTGAAAGTCAAGCTGAAGGGTAGCACACTGATGCTCTCTCCTCAGGGCATCCATGATAGTGATATCTATCTTAGGCCCATAAAACGCTCCATCTTCTGGGTTCAACTTCCATGCCTTCCCAAACTTATTCAGACCTTCTGCCAGCTCCTACAAGAGGATGAATACCATCTTGTCTGAGAGGCTTCTGCAAGTCATAAGGTTTAAAAGGGGAGAAAAGGCATCTGGCTCACCTTCTCTGCCTCATCCCAATCCTTGATATCACCCAAGAATTTTTGAGGCCTGGTGGACAGCTTCAGTTCAAAGGTGAAGCCAAATATGGTATAGATGGCATCAAGGAATTCTAGGCCTGATGAAATCTCATCCTTGATCTAGGGGAGAAACATGTCATTAACAACATTAGGATTGCAATTATTTTGGTGAATCAAAACTCTGTGCTGAAACAGTTGGCTGCAAAGGGCTGCATATAAGTGTGAAAATTTGATTGAGGCATTCTTAAGATTTCTTGCTTTCTAAATTAAAAAATTTCTCAGAACCAGTCATCAGTTGGATAATTCTCTTCATGTTTTAGCATTATAAAAACTTCAAGTCACATTTTGGAAGCAGATTTTCTAAAGCATGGATGAGCATTCACAGCATGCAAAAAGTAGGAGGATCAAAAAGGAGAATATATTTAAAAAATCAGGGTGCTTTACCAACTCTTTCAATGCATGAAAGAAAAAAGTCCTACTTGTTCAACAGCACAGAATATGTGAGCATCGTCCTGTTGGAATCGTCGCACCCTCGTGAGCCCCGAGAGGGCACCCGAGAGCTCGTTGCGGTGAAGGACACCGAAGTCGGCCAGGCGTAGAGGGAGCTCCCTCCAGGATCTGGGTCGATGGTCAAACATGAGGCAGTGCCCTGGACAATTCATTGGCTTCAGCGCGAACTGCTCCTTCTCGGACTCGAACAGGAACATGTTCTCGGCATAGTGCTGCCAATGCCCCGAGATCTCCCAGAGCTTGGAGTTGTAGATGTTGGGCGACATGACCTCCTGGAATCCCCGCCGGCGATACTCCGACTTGATCAGGTCGATCAGGGTGTTGTAGATGTGCGCGCCCCGGGGGTTGAAGAAGCACGAGCCTGGACTGAGTTCATGGAAGAAGAAGAGCTCCTGGTCTCGACCGATGCGCCGGTGGTCCCGCTTGGCTGCTTCTTCCTGGAACCGTTCCCATTCCTTCAGCTGCTTGGTGTCAGGGAAAGAGATCCCATAGACACGCTGCAGGCTCTCTCTGTCGCTTTTCCCCTCCCAGTAAGAAGAGGAGTTCTGCAACAAACAGGCAATCCAGAAACAAGGTCAAATCACACAAAATGACACAGAAGTAATGAGAAGAATAGGTCTCTTGTTTACCTTGACGACCTTGAATGCCTTGATCTTGCCAGTGTGGCGAACATGGGGTCCTAGGCACAAGTCAATCAGAGGTCCACACCTAAAAGTAAAAAGGTAGTGTACCCCTGCTGTTATGCACATAATTTTTTCATTGTTTTGCCCCTTTTTGCATTTTTTCCCTGCATTTAATGCATTTTCTGCTAAACACTGACGAGAAATCTCACCCTGATGGCTGTGAAAAATAGAACAACGATACATAAGCAATGGATTTGCTGAAGAAATATCCAAGCCAAAACTGATTTCTAATAAAATTCTGAATCACTCTTTACTCTCCCCATCAAAAGTTAACAAACCTCATGGATTCTTTGATTTTCATGTAAATCAGTTCCTCAAGCTAACAAACACAATCTTCTGGATTAAAAATCTCACCTGTAAACAGTGGTGGTGGGGGTGTTCACTTTCTCATTCAGAATCCTCTGCTTGAATGGATTATACTGAAAAAATTCCAGGAGTTCCTCTTTGGTGAGCTCCAGCCTCTCAAATGGTTGCTTTTCCTTCACGATGCCCTTCACCAGGGTCTCTAATGCAGGGTAATCACTGTTGGAGACCTAAAATGTTCCATACAACAATGAAGAAAAATTTTCAAACCGTTCTGGGGACTAACTTGGATCAGGATCTCAGGATCAGGACTAACTTGTTCCTCTTTAATAAACATGTCATAATAGAAGCCATTTTCAATCGGGGGACCGTAGCAGAGCCAGCCTCCGTAAACCCTTTCCATTGCCTCTCCGAGCACGTGCGCCGATGAGTGCCAGAAGACTTGCTGACCTGATGGACGAGAACACAAACTCGATCTCACGAAGCCAATGCAAGGCTGTTCAGTGATATCGAGGTGGAACTCACCCTCCTCGTTATCAAACTTGAGGATTTCCAAGCTGCAATTGCCTTCCAGGGGGCGATCGAGATCCCACAGGACGCCGTTCACCTTGGCTATCACTGCGTTGTCGGCGAGGCCTTGACTGTCACAGGGGAGAAAATGTCAGTAAGTGTTAATAATCAAGGACAGACATTCTAATCGTTGGACCGTGATCGCGAACGAACTGCATCAAACCTGATGCCTGCTGCGATTTTATACGGCGTGGTGTCCCAAGAAACGCCTTCGACGACCTTTCCATCAGGCAGGTTCACCTCAATCTTTTCCCTTGCTTTAGAAGCCAAATCTGCAATGTATCTTTCCTTGTACTTATTCCACAGATTGATCCGATCCTGAGGGGCGAAAGAAAACATGGCATTGGAAGAAGCACCTAGTTGAGCTGCTGGCTAGTCAAAATAGAGTAGCAACGAATAAATTTACCTGAATGTAGGCAGGAAGAACTTGAAGTTCTTTCCTTGGAGGCTCTGCAGTTTCTCCCCCTCCTTTGTGACCATGTTTAGTCTTGCTTTCCTTCCCAGCCTGAGACAAACAGATACAGATATCGATCAATACACCCACGTGACATACGGCTCGGTTTCCACACCGAAAAATCACGTCAGGTGTCAGGTGTACTTACTACTTCTGGTTGGCTCATTGTCGGAAAGGTGTGTCGAAGGGGCCGACGACCGGGCTCGAGTTTGTTCTTCGCAAGAGACACCGACGTGTGCAAGTTTTGATCGCAACTCAAAAATGGCCTCTTCCCGATTTCAGAACTCTGATACTTCCCCAAAACCCTGTACCATTGGCAGAAGGATGAAGATCTGATTGGTGGCACTTTCATTATGCATGATCCTAAGAGGAAGCGTCGGACTAACATTAGGCCCTAACATTGAAAACACCATCTGATACAAGCCTAAAAGTAAGCTGAACTACGGTCCAAGCCAGCAAAACGACTAGGAATGAGCTCATATCACGGCCTAGGCTAAGCACGAACAAATACCAAACAAATCAACCGGAATGCACAGCCGGCCTAACGTCGACAGCCTGCGATACGTGTGCCGGGCTCGAGGACAAAACCCAGCCTCATATAAACCGAACTATCACACCGCATTCCAATTGCACAATTGCGACTGCAGTCTCGCCTGCAACGAAAATCATTGCATCAGCCCCCACTAATCACAACCGGACGACCCCACTCATTCGCAGAACTCCGTTCCCGGCAGCGGAAGATGCTGACGCAAACTGGATGCTGAGTGTCTCCATGATGACATCACTAGGCAATCACCCGCGACATCTAGCGTGTGACCGACGAACCCGGCAGTTCCGGTTAGTCGGGGGCGGAGACCGGAAGCTCGTCTTCAAGCGTTTCATCCCCGGTGTCCGATCATTTGCATTTCCTGACTTCTAAGGGCGTTTGTCTTATGAGTGCCTGCAGAACAAATCAGCTCCGTCTGCTTAAAGTGTTTAGTGCCACATTGACGCGGTGAAATCCTCGCTTGGATTTCATAACGGGCCATCTTCCAGTTGCCTTGCTTGGCGTACAAATTCTCTCCTTTTAAGTTTCTCGATCGCACAACTTTGATATAAATCTACGGAGGCGAAAATCTTGAGATGCATCTCGACTCGGTTACCAAAATGATTGCTTTCGTGTCCAATTAAATTATTGTTTCCAGTCTGTTCCTTGCTCAGGGCTTGAAATGCATTTCGGGAACGCTCCACAGTGGACACGACAGGGTTGCCAGATCCTCTCATGCCGCGTTGGAGTAGCCTGTGAATGATAAGCGTCAATATGTGTCCCCTAATCTTCGTAATATTCCGGTCTGAGGAATAAAAAAAAACTAAATAAACGTATAATAATAAAAAAAAAATATATAAAAGCAATGATCAATCTGAGAAGTCTCCTGCTATAAGGTGTTATTGCAATCTGTATGATTTCATCAAATCCAAAATAATAGTAAGAATGCTAAAAAAAAAAAAGCTTATAGAAATTTACTGCCTACCAAGGCACCAATGCATACGATAATGGCACAAAATAGGAATGGAATTAATAGGGTCCCTTCCATCTCTGGGATTGGTCTCCTGGGATGATTGCGCTCATATTCTTTCTGTCCGCAGATGGAAAGACGGATGGGTCTGGTGGTGATGGCCTGCAGGCAGGTGGATGCGGGTCTCACAAGGGAGATAGAAGCTCGCAAGAAGGCGTGCAGGGTTCGTTCAGGCGGCTCTCTTTCGTTATCTGCTGGGTCGGTGGAGGATGGAGTGGAGGGTGAAGGGTGAATGGTGGAGGGTGGAGGGTGAATGGTGGAGGGTGCAGGGTGAAGGGTGGAGGGTGAAGGTGGGGGAGGTGGGGGAGGGTTGGGTCGATGGTGGCTGGGAGACTGAGAGGTAACGAGTCGATGCCCAGCATTTTCTTATTTGAAAGTTGTGGTTGATGGGACTTGAGGTAGGACGTTGTTCGTTTAAAGCAGGGCTTCCCAACCTTTTTCACGCGCGACCCCATAAATCACGAGGATACCATTCAGAACCCCAAGAACTGGCCAAAGTTCGACAGACTCCCCCACCTACGCGCTAAGGTCGCCAAGAAATACATAACTTGATTTTTAGTTGCCATTTCGCCACCCCAAATTGGGTCGCGACCCTGGGTTGGGAAGCGCT